TCAGTATAACTGTTTTGAAAATCAATTTGACAGATGTGTATGCAATTGACATTTTCTGTGAGGATTTCAAACAGTAAATTGCAGCTATGATTGTTTCTCCACATAATACGATATTAGGAGATATTTGTTTTCCATGCTTACCTATTAATTGAATATATATCTTGATATACGTGATTTACTGGTAATACTGTAATTGTAGTTTGAATATGAGAAAGTAATAGCCACAGCAATTTCAATAATAGTTTAATTACGATCTGAACTTACGTATAATGAGTAATATTCAATTCGAACATAATAAACAGTAGTAACTAATAGATAAATCAATCTATTCTATTGAAAGTGTAAAGCATTCTCATTATCAGTTGGATAAATTTTATTTGAAAAACAGGGATGAAAAAAAAATTTAACAATTTGGAATAATGAACCATTTCTACTAATTTAATATTTTTATTTGAAAAGTAATTTGATCTTGTATTTAAATCAAGTATATAATTTACAGACCGTAATCTTCTATTTATTTATCAATCCACTGAAATAAAATAACAAATAATCTCAATAGAATAGAATTGTCTGAGAAATGAAAAACAAGATGAAACAAAAGTTGTTTATTTAATAGCTAAATAATGAAGTAATTTCGACAGAAATTATTTGCTTGTTCAAGATTATTTCAAGATAACGTCGAGTCAAGTGAAATAATGTATTGATTAAATAATCATTTTTTTTAATATTTTCTTATAAATAATATTGTAATATAACTTCGTTCTCTTATCATTTGTACGTAAAGCTGCAAGTTAAATTCTAGCGAAATTTAACTACCGAAATTTCCACCAGAGACATTAATATATAAAAAAAGTAGAAAAGATTTACGATATAATAAATTACACTCTCTACAATTTCTAAAACTATATTTTACGTATGTGTTTTATATCTACAAAATTTCTAATAAAAATCATAAATTGGTCATTTTGACCATTTTAGTAGTTAAAACGTACATTGTTTCTTTTTACAATTTTTTTCCTGTTAATTATTAGTTTCTCAAATTTTATGATTTATTTTGTTCAAAATAACTTGCTCTTGAACTTCCGATGAAACTACTTTTACATAGTGCTTGCATATCCTTCAATTTTTAGTAGTCACTGGTAATGCTTTATAAAGGAAATAAATGATAGCGAGATTATACCGCATTCTGTAAATGGGGTGGATAAAATTGAAAGTTACATATAAAGGAGAATTATAGCGCAAATATTTCATGGTATCAGTTGACGCAGCGAAATAATTTAAGAAACTTCGAAGTAACTTCTATACTGATAGTTTGAGATTACCCACTTGTAAAAAATGTAAGTGATATTAAAAGTAATTCTTACAAATGAACAAACCTTGAAGGAACGAGTAACTGGTTGACAATTCAACTAAAATAACAAAGCAAATTGCAGTTGAATTACAATTGCGAAACATATTTCTCTGCGTTGTGAGAATTATTTAAATTCACGTACATATGTTAAACTCTTCCTCATTTCAGTTCATAACAACGTTTAAAAATTATTGTCAAAGGCATTCACGTTTATATTATCATACATCAGAAAATTTCATCCATCAGAAATCAATGAAATCAAACAAATGTGATTAAGTATTTTGTTATATTTTGTTGTAATTACAAACAGTTGTGAAACACGTCTGATAATATTGCAACAAAATGACAAGATTTGCGTGAGAGACGATATTCTTCAAAGTCGATAGAAAAACTTATACAATTTTATATATATATATATATATATATATATATATATATATATATAT